CACAATCAATTGTATACAACTTCACTTGCATGCGATACACAGAATACATGATTAAAATGTCGCGTATTATATTTTGAAATAAATAGGAAATTTTAAGAAATACATTTAACATTAAATAACGTTAACATGATTAACGTTATTAATCTGTAATTATGCTTATATATCTTTATGGTGCTTAAATTTCGGGGAAGCATTCACAAAGCGAACAATTATATATTAACCCTTTGTACTCGAGGGCTCCGGAGCGGAGCCATTTAAAATTTGTCTTCAAACTCTTCAAACTCAAATGCAAATAGTAAGAGCGGAATATCCTATACACAATAGTTTTTACGATTTCCCTTTGTCCTTATGTTATGAATTGAAAGTTATTTGCATCGTCTCCATAGCGGAGCCCTCGAGTTTGAAGACAAATTTTAAATGGCTCCGCTTCGGAGCCCTCGAGTGCAAAGGGTTAAGGTGGCGGAAAGTTTGCGGGGAGTTTTCAGTAAATGTAAACGCACCGCAAAGCAGCAAGCAAATGTCAGAAAGCATTTAGGATATTTTTTATGAAAATAGGCCGAGGCAAACGGGAGTTGTCCAGCCAGTTGTTCAGAAACTTAATGCATAAACGAGCGATGAAGGAACAACGTATGGAATATTTCGATTACAAACATTTCTTAAGCGCTTCTGCCTGAGTCACTAGAAACTTCTTTAACCGCTTTTTTTTTCGACTGAGAACACTTATAAAAGATATATATGTAAAACATATTATGTCTGTAGATGACATCGTGCCTACAAGAAGGGGCATAACAACTATCCAAGACAAGTATATGAAAAATATAGAATAAATATAGTATGAAAAATATTATAGCTCATATTCTGAACGCGCTTTCAACGATGTTAGCGTGCTAACAAGACAAGAGATGTGAGCACTTTCAGTATCGCTTATATTCTAAACGCGATGATAACAGTATTCTGTTAAGCAAAACTGATAATCACGCGTGTTTGCAGCAAAATTTCTATTCAGAACTACTGATAATTCAGAAGAATAGTTCAATATTAATAAGTTGACTTGTTAGTGCACTAACATCGTTGTAAGTGCGTTCAGAATATGGACCTATGTCTACAAAAGACATCGGACTGTATTATGAATTTTCTTTTATCGATAAAAGTACCTCTAAAAGTGGCTTAGGAACTATCTGATTGGTTAAGAAGCCAATCATCGTTCGTTCATTTAAGACGCTTTTATCGATAAAAGAAAGTTTAGAATACGGGTCATTGTGTCTATAAAAGACCCCGCGTGTATAAAAAATAATGATATGTATAAATTATATATGTATTTCTCATATTATATTTTTTAATAAACACTAGACCTATAGAGGAAACCACTTAAAAAAAACTCGTCAGCAGTATTTTATAAGTGACGTGGAAATCTATTGCCATAATAATGTAATTATAATTTTATGTAATAATTATTATATATAATTATAATTATTATATTATAGAGAAAAAAAGAGCATTAAAACACTAGTCTTATCCATGTATTTCAGGTACCATGTATATTCATGTATTTCAGATACTCACGAACGGAATCGCGTAAGCCTTTTCGAGCTTGCTTTTCGCGCCAGCTGTACTGAAACGTATGAACGAGTTAACTCTTTCCTTTCACGTCGCTCGACTCACTTCACTTTCCGAAGTCACGAACCTCCAGTAAAGCTTCCTTTAGTTGTAGTTATATACATATTATGCATGTGGCAATATCATCATTTATCAAATGATGGAGGCTTGATTTACTTACAACGTCGAAGATTGGAAAAAGTATTCAGTTGATAACAGTTAAAATTATTAGAACAAAGGTTTCTGACAATAATAATATTTTCAATATTTTCAATGTAAAACCAAACCAAAGTAAAAATAAAATGAAAATTATATTCCTGAACGACAGTTGAACATGAATTTAATAATGAATAACAATAAATAAACTATGATCCCTTACGATCTTTCGTAGTTTTAATTACGACTATCTTTATGTTTATATTTGTTATATTATTTATTATTATTGTTGTTCCAATACTTTTCTTTCATTGAAAGAACTTACATATAGTCTATGTGGATCGACATGGCTATTTTTTGTTATGACTGAAGAAGACAATACGATTTTTCATGTTTTTATCGACAGTTCTGAAAACCAACGAATGTATCTTTTGATCAGATTTGCCGCTATTTCTACCGTTCATCGTCGTTCAAGAGATTAAACGCCGAATTAATCATGCGTTAAATAAACACGAAGTTGTTACGCGATGTTCCGCCTTCATTTGACCCTCACGATTTCCAGCTACATTTCATTATGCGGGTCATTGGTTTGTTCTTGATAATTATTTTGGAACTGGTGATTTGCTAGACTATTTTTCTGAAAGACAAATTATCGTGTCGCTGCCACGAAAACTGATCCCGAACGAAACACGATACGACGAATGTATTATATTGTAATTAGTGATGGATGTACCTTCTCAAGGATTCTTATATAAGCCATTGTGTAAGGTTGTATTAGACATAATGTCATGAATTCCGGAAATATGTACCTAAGTCGTACTCGTAATGCCGCGCAGCCAAAAGAATCCAAATGTAATTATATATATATATATATATATATATACATATATTCATTGTGATTCAATATAATCTATGTAATATATTGAAATAAAACTCTGTCTATATGCTAAGCAACTCACATACCTGTAATGTTGACGTGATCAACTGAGATTGCAAGATCTCGGACCTCATCTCTTGCATACTTAATCCCGATCCGATAAATTTTTCCTACGTATCGTTATTGTTACATAACATCTCATTCTTATCTCACTTTTGAATCTTGCAATTCGGCGATTGGAGGATATGCGAAACGAACAAATAAATTCGTTACGCAAGTAAAAAGTTACATTTTATTTGCTGAATTTAATAAGGTTTCTACAATATACAGCTACATATAATATCCCATTTGACACAATCGTTGAGTAATTATCGATGTGATCATTTTATCGTGGAAATAATAATAAATAATCGTGGGATGACTCTCTACGAATTTATAAATATATCTCGGCACATCGAACAACGGTAACGTTATATCAATATTATAAATTTCTCGCGCATAATGTAACTATTATATACAAACGTGTTATATATTTGTATTGTTGAGTGGAAAATTAATATAATATTATAATATTGGTATAATGTTACAGTTACTTGACGTATACTGAAATTGAAAAAATGTCGCGATATCAAAAAAGAGGAAGATAATTTACATATTTTATATATATATATGAAATCTATGAAAAAGTCTATAAAATTATAATAAAGAACAATTTCTAGTCGTTACTCCGCATATGCATAAATTGTAAAATGCATAACCGAAAATAAAGGATCCGGCCTATATTCACGTCATATATTTAACAGTAAGACCTTAGCAGAATAGCTGATTTGTAATTTTAAGATGTTCTAAATCTTCGTCTAAATTATCATTTTTTATATTTTTTTTTTAAATTATACAGCGACTTGTCATCAGTCATAGACAACATTTCAATTTAAGACTCCAAACATAAGACACTTAACCCTTAGCTGACACACGTCAAAATAGTAACGTACGTGCTATAGGGGGTATTTTGGATCCCAGCGAGAAAAAATGTGTATAATTGTTTTATTTATCAATTTGGGTCAAGCCTCGACTAATACTAGGTGACGCCACAGAACCAAATTTGGCGCGCAGCTATGAAAAATTTGCGTTCAAAAACACTCTTGGGTATTTTTAACCCCATGTGTCAGCTAAGGGTTAAGCGGGGTCTATAATGAGAATTTAAGCTTTAAGTCTTAAGAAATTGACCAATGATGTCGATTATTCTCCTCATATTCGACTGTGATTCGCCAATTTCTTAAGGCTTAGAGCTTAAAGTACTTATTGTAGACCAGGACATGGCCCCGGTCTACAATAGGTATTTTATGCCTTAAGAAATTGACCAATAATAGTCGAATATGAGAAGAATAATTGACTGTGCTTTATTTCTTAAGGTTTAAAATACCTATTGTAGACTGAAACTTATGCATTAAGCAGGTTCTACAATGAGAATTTAAGATATAAGATTTAAAAAACTGATCAATCATAATTTACTTTTCTTCCATAATTCGACTGTGATTAGTCAATTTCTTAATACTTAAGGCTTAAAATATCTATTGTGGACTGATACTTAAGACATAAAATGTTGCTTCAAACTAATAATTGTAAATCAGCCATTCTGCTAAGGCCCTAAATAAGATAATCTAATTCCCAGTTGGTATCTAAACATAACATTTATATTAACTGAAGTAATCGAAAACTTAATTCACATTTAGTACTAAATGAATATGCAAATACAGACTATTATTAAATTTTCTGCTTTTGATATCGCAAAAGCATGTGATCCCTTCACGAAAGCTCTAGATTTCAATACGGTTAGAACAATTTTTCCGATGCAACCCGGAACACAGCTGATGTCCAACTAAAGTTTTGAGAATTATTCAAAAACATTCTATTGAACATCGACAACGTTACAAACTGCATTAAGAGAAAAAAAAAGATTCGGACCGTACTGAAAAATCAAGTGAACACTCTCTATTTTCTTACAAATTCCTCCCAGCAATTAAACTAATTTAGCTTATATCTTTCTCTGCATGTACTTCTTTTTAGGGAGAATAAGCCCATACTACTCACAAGATACATACAATCTTAAGAATGTAGTAAAATATAAAAAATTAAACGGCGTTTTGACAAAACAGAATTTCGCGCTCGTCATACTTAGCGTCGAAGATTGGAGGAAGTTGGTCGGTTGACAACAATTAGAATTATTACAACACAAAAGTTTCTGTCGAGTAAGCCGTGTTCGTCAGTAATATTTTGAACGTAAAACCAAACTGAGAAAAAAGGAAAGGGAGAGAAATTGAATTCCTGAACTGTGGAAAAATTTAATAATAATGAATAACAATATGATATATAAATTATAATCCCCCAAGATTGAGTTTTAATTATTTTGTACTTGCGGTTTCGACCATTCTACATTCAAAATCAAATGGTCATATCCATATCCGTCCAATGTGGCGATCGCTCTCGCAGCGTCGGCCCTATGCTTGAAATGGACATAGGCGAAACCTTTGCAGAGATTGGAGAGCTTCTCTTTAGCCAGGAATTGTTTCACCACGGAACCAAACGGCTTGACGAGCTCGTCCAGATCAGCGTCGGTGGTGCTCTGCGAAAGATTTGAGATACGAATGGCGGTCGTGTCATCCCGTCTCTGCATCTGCATGGAATCGCCACGTTTGTTGCCACCATCGCGCATGCCAGGCGGCACGTATTTGCCGCCTTGCGGCTTGAGCTCAGCCATAGCACCCGGCACGGCTGTGTTGACGAGCGGTTTCTTGTCGTCCGGCACTTTTCCTAAATACACAAAAAAATGTACGTTTGGTGAAATTTGCTTCGAACTACGCGATATAAGGGTGTTCCCGTATAGAATAGCGGGATCGACGTTTATTCGGTCCGTGTCGTCACTCACCT